TTCACTCTAGATGATCCGAATATCGCACGTAATAATCTCTAAGTGGAGAGAGATAAGAGATAGAAAGGCGGCATAGAGAGAGAAAGGGTGGAAATAGAGAGAGAGAATAGTATTATGGGGCTGCCTTTCTCTTATATACAAATTTTATATATTATTTTAATTATTAAATAATTGTTTATATGTTTAATTTTTTTGGCTAAAAATTTTCAATAAAAGATTAAACATATAAAAATTTTCTCTCTCGCTCTCTCCCGCATCTCTCCTCTCTCTCTCACATCTGGAGATGAGAAGAATAAGTCAAGAGTTTTGGCTAATAATTTAATTTTTTTTTGAATAGTCATTCCTCTCTCTAGTTCTATTTCTCTCTTATTTGAACTCAATGCAACAAACAAAATAACGCATTCAGAATGCCCTATTTCTTTTGGCGCATTCTAAATGCGTTATTTTATTTGATGAATTTGCTCATTTTTAAAATTTCTATTAACTATGATCATTTTGCTAATTTTGAAGATTAAGCTCCTTCTATATAAAATTTTCCCTAAACTTTTTTATTTTAATGTAAGTAATTTCAAGAATAACTGATAAATATTTTTTTTTGTGGGACTTTTTTTCTCGTTATGGTTGACAAGGGGCATATTAATTAGCAACAACAACTTACTCGCATATATCTTGATTTAGATTTTATTTGGGACAATTTTATTAAAGTATTATTTAAATATAAAAATTTTTGTACTAAGAAATTATTTTAGAAAGCAATACGTAGCCGTGGTCGGAAGCATAATCTCCTCCACGCTATGGACCCCACCAGCCCTCTCCCTCATCCCCCGATCATCTTCCTCCGTTTTCCCCAAGTCCGAGCTGGCAATCACCACCTTCCCGACCCACGCTTGTCCCATCATCTTTGCCACGTGGTATGCCACAAACCCCCCATAGCTGGTCCCCACCACCCCCGCCAATTTGCCGGAGATTTCTAGTTTCGCCAAAAGAGCCACAATCGCCGCCGCCTGGAACTTCTCCGACCGCTCCGGCGACAGAGTGGTGGACCGACCGAAGAAGATGAGGTCCGGCACTATGAGGTCGAAGTGGCGGCTGAGGGGGCGAATCTGGGCCTTCCACTGCCACGTAGCTGGAGTGCCGAAGCCGTGGAGGAGGAGGAGCGGCGGCTTGGAGAAGGAAGGGGGATGCCAGCACTGGATGGTGGTGTCTGGGTCAACCGCAACGGAATAACGGCGGAGGCCGGCGGCCGTGAAGGAGCGGCGGTTAATGGCGTCGACAATGGGGACGAAGCTGAACTTGAGACCCATATTGCGGTGAGACTGTCGTATTTGTTGGGGTATTTGTAGCGAAGAAAAGGTAAGAGTTTTGGAGGAGCATTTGATGAAAATGAAAAAGTAGGTGAAGCTGTGTGATATTATTATTTTATTTTTAATTGGTGGATTGATAAGCCAGTTGGAAATTATTTTGTGGGGCTTATTTGATTATCTACGAATATTTTTAAATTAATAAATCAGATAATTTAATTATGTATTTGAGCTTTTTGAAATTTAAATTTTATTTTGGTAAAAAATTTAGATTCGAAACTTTTTAAAAAATATTATCAATAAAATTAATTGGCATCCAATAATGAATTCAGATCCAAATAAAATTTAATATTTTCATTAATTAAAATGCTGTATTTTTCTATTCTATTGACTTCTCATTTATTTTGTAGGAAACCGAAAAACATCTTAGGGATTGGGTATTGAAGAAAATGCATGATGCAAGGTTTTTAGAGACAGCTCGAATATTGAGGCCATGGAAAAAGAATTCTCGAAGGCTTCTCATTTTTTTTGGGGTGATTGTAAATTTTTATAATGATTATTTTAAAGTTGTTTTTTTTAAGCAATCGGTAAAAATAGCTTTCTTACAAAAACTTTTCTTGGAAGTAATAAGAAAATAATAGTCATACAGAATTGTAGTTGTGGCCTGAAAAATAAACAGTAATAATGTTATCTCGAACAGGAGAGATTATTACGTGCGGAGTTCAGATACAAAGAACCGTTCGGGTTTGTGACTATGAACAATAAAAGCGTAGTTACTGTTCGAACAGTTCTATGTATCCGGACTCCGCACGTAATAATCTCTCCTCAAACAGATCCTTAATTGGGATCTAACATGGGGTTTAATCGATATGATAAGATGTGTTAACTTAGGCTTTCTTAGTTTGCAAGAATTTGTATTAAAACAAAATAATAGTGATGAAAATAATAATGAAAATGAGTTGAAATTAATTATATTTCAAATATTTATTTGAGAAGAAATGCAGTTAAAATGTATTTCTATTGATTAATAATAATTTATTTTATTGATAATAGAATATATGAGTCACAATTATATTTCTTACATAAATTAATTTATTTATTAACTGCATTAAAATCAAACTTTTATCATAAAAGTGCAAAGAAACATAAATTTGTATTTCTAAATTGATTTATAGATCTTAAATAAAATTTAGCAAAATCATATGCCTAATGTTTTCGAAGAGAAAAGTGGGGGAGAGGCTTAATTAGAGCGTTGAGAAATTATTGGTAAGATTTAATATTTTGACTTAGAGTCAACAATTTGACGGCAAATATGATCAGTAAGCAAATCAGCAGTTTCTTGCGGAAATCTTAACGTTCGCTTAAGAATGTTTTGCAATAATAATTGTTGACTCCCGGAATATTATTCGTGACGGAAAAAAAAATATGGAGTTTAGAGCATTTTAGTGTCTTAGTTTTGTACGAAGATCTGACATACAAATATATAGGAGATAAGAGTGCATGCAACATTTATAAGAGATATCAAAATTTTTATAAGAAAAATCATGAGGCTTGGCCAAAAATGAATCAACTTGTATTAATGGTTAGCTAATATACATAATATAATGCAATTTACATGGTTGGAACTAGAAGAACCCAACGTTATGAGAGAGAGAGAGAGATGGTTAGCTAATATACATAATATAATGCAATTTACATGGTTGGAACTAGAAGAACCCAACGTTATGAGAGAGAGAGAGAGAGAGAGAGAGAGAGAGAGAGAGAGAGAGAGAGAGAGAGAGAGTTGTTCTGTTCATGTGGTTGGTAGGGTCGTAATTGGATGGTGATGGTTAGAAGGACCGTATTCAACAGGCAACGAAGTTTATAAGGAGTGTAGGCAGGCAACGGTGGTCGGAAGGATCGTAATTGGGTAGCGAAGGATGTTGGAAGGACTATAGTTGGGCAACGATGGTCGGAGGAATCATAATCAACAGGTGACGAAAGTCGGAAGGATCGTACTTACGCAACAGTGGTTTGAGAGATTGTAGTTGACGGGCGATAAAGGTTAGAATGATTGTAGTCGGGCGCAGTAGTCGGTGGCGACGGAGATACCGTAATCGGCGGGCAACAGAGGTCAAAAGGGTCTTAGTCGAGGTCTTAGTCCAGCGACGATGGTTGGAGAGATCATAGTCGGCGGGTGATGGAGGTTGGAAGCTCCGTAGTTAATTAGCGATTGTGGTTAGAGTAAGGTTCATCAATTACTTCCAGTTGGAGGTCTAATGATTCATATATCAGTGGAATTAGTGGTGGCATGGTGGTTTGGATTCACCGGCGATGATGCCGGGGTGGAGTCCAAGATTCTTCAAGTCCAAAAGCTCTTTTCTTCCTCGTCCCCCCTTAAGTGAAAAATGAGAGATTATTTATAGTTTTTTCGAAATATGGAGAAGATCAAGGTTAGATTGGAGTGTTTCATCGGATGAGTGTCATTAGTTCCGGATTATAGAATGCTTATTAAGCATTTAGATGCCTTAATTAATTAGTACTGTCAGAATTTAGTGATCTTGGGCTCGCTGGATTCGTATCGTCGAGCCTCTTGATTTGAATATCAGCATGACATATTCGAATATCATTTGATCCTCCAGTTGGGGCTCTGAAGCTTTCAAGTATGTTATGGTCCTTTGCTTTGATCTCATTTGAGTTAGGATTGGAATGAATTTGATGTCATTGGGTTCATGTACTTGAGATGTTTAATTCAACTATAAATTTGCTAAAATTAGAGTTTGGATTATCCCAAATTTAATTTTGAAAATTTCCGATTCATATTTGCATTGAGTTCGTGCCCAATCAAGAATAGTTTTTTTTTATGACGTATCAATAATAATAATATTATTATTAGCAGTATTATTTGAATTAAAAAATTTAGTCGTTTAAACTGTTGTGATAAACAAAATCAACTATATAAAAATTGTTGAAAAAAAAAAGTTTTCTAAGAACAGTGAATTAAACGTCTTTATAAAAACAATATTTTCGCCATCATCCACAAATTGAAGTGGATGTTCTTACGGGATCTCACTGGGACAGTCTTCAATTGCCATCTCCCTACTTCCCCGTTGGGATAGAGCTTCCTCCACTGCCCACATCCCGTTTGCCTCTTTTTCACTCTCCAACTTGATAAAATATTCCTCCGTTTTCTCCTGCGCTCTCATAAGAAAATAACGGTGTACAGACTTGCCTTAGCCTTGGGGAATTAGATCAAGTCAGCAATTAATCATCCTAGCTCCTCTAGAGGACTTGCTCAAATCAGTCTACATCTTGAGGATCACTCGCCTTAAATTGGACCAGCTCACCCACGGCATCTTTTTATGATCAAGGTCACTCACCAACTTTGATGTGGGGGATCGTTTGAAGAATCGGATCTGCAAGAAGGAAAAATCCCAATCCAAAGAAACCAACACAAACACAAGCTTTCTCAGCTTCAAAGAGAATAATATATCATTGATAATGCTTCATACTACAACATTCTAAATATAAGCTAACTTGAGAACTTTCTAGAAATAAAACTAGATATACTATAATTAAAATGCTCTGCATCATACTTCATATATCATTGACTAAACTGCAGGAAGTTTACACTTTTGATTTCACTGGATGAACTCTCTCTAACTCTCAATTATTTTTATCCATGGGACTCCCCCAACCCCTCGCTACCAGTGACTTGACTCTTAATCACACCCAGTAACTCGTCTCTCATTCCTAGCTAGGAATTCACCCTCACATATTTGAGAGATTATTACGTGCAGTGTTCGGAACGTCCGGAGTTGAATCCGGATGCGCCACATCACACGGATGCACCGGACCCCGAATGACGTGACTAATCCAAATTCACCTCCACACAAATCCGAATGCCGCATATGCCACATAAAATAATTTTCCCACGTATTCACCTTATGAGCTGCTAGAATCATATCTCACCAACAGCAACAGATAAATAATATAAATCCAATAGTAGCCTCATTGACTTTCTTATAGTTCTTGCGTTAATGCTTATGGACATTTGGGGAGGTGAAGTGCCACTCAACTTGCTCTTCTGCTTTTCAGGCCATGCTTACATTTATACATTCTGAATAGTTTACAGTGTCCACATCAATAAATAAGATATGATGCAATATTTATTGGCTGTTGCTGATTGATATGGTATAAAGCAGTAGAAGTTATTATCTGAAATCTGAAGCAAAATTATGTCAGAAAATCACTGTAGATAAAGCAGCTTCCACAGTGAATTTACTATCAGAACAGCGATGCAACATGAATGTGCTCTTTCAAATCTGTCTTTCTAAAATTAACTTTGTCGTATAATTGACAAAATGATCTCCTCTTTGCACTGTTTTGGTAGGTTTAGTTTGGGGTAAAAATAGGATTAAAATATTTAAAATATAGGAGTATTGAATGTATTGATATTTGATTAAGTAAGAAAATATAGAGTCAAATTTTAAAATATGTGAAATTTATCATCTAATTTAATTATGATGTATTTAAAAATTATTAAATTTGACTTATTTTCATATACATAATAAATTTTATGTCATTGTCGCTATCAACTATCACCATTTGTAATGAGACGCCACACCAGTTGTCTACAGCTGTAGCAAATAAATAAAATCCGTCGGTAATTTATACTTCCGGCAAATTTTTGATGAGAAGTCACTCTTTGGTAAACAAAAAAAAAAGTTATTTAGCCCAAGCAGGCCAGCGAAAACGCCTGCAGACTCCGTGGGCCCGTGAACCTGCTTACGAACCCGCATGCTATCACTGCATGACCATGAACCTGCCTGCACTCTGCAGGCATGTGAACTCATCCCAACAATTCAAAATATTTTAAATACATTGTAATCTTTTTTTACTTTTTATTTTATTTTACTCTACATTCATTTCTAGCAAATCAAACAATCCACCATGATTTTCCCCCTTTTTTTAATTATTGTTGTTAAGTAACAAATTATTTTAAAAATATTATTTAATTTGGAATCATTTAATCATCACCAGCAATTTTAAAATGTAAAAATTGATTGATTATAATTAATTAATTAATTATTACAT